TCTGAGCAGCTCCGTGAGCTGCGTCTGGACGCCGACCTGGCTGTCTGGCTGCCCGCGCGGCCGGCCAAGCAGGGCGCCGTGGTCACCGCCTACGTCACGGTCTCCGGCAACTCCACCGTGGACGCCTTCGTGCTGAGGTAGGTGCCAGACTGCTCCGCCGTCCTTGGGGACCTGGCTGAAGCTGGGCCCCAGCTTGGGGACAGATGCCGAGGACAGGTGATGTGCACCTGTTTCAGGGATCCGAGGCACCCCCTACTCAGATTCTGGGCAGCTCTGCTCAGCTGCTGGAAGGGATGCAGGGCATGACCTTGTCCCGAAGAGGATGCCCAGGGTCCGCCCATGTGGCTTGGGGTCTCCTCAGCCTGGACAGGGCTGCTGGCACCTGTCTGGCTTGGGCTTCGTGCACACCTGCAGCCTGGGTCGATAAGCAATGCAAGAGTTTGGGGCGCCCACGAAAATCTATAGGGCGTGTGTGGAAAGAGCCCAGGCTAGTACAAGATGGGCTTTAATCTGGTGAGCTCAACGTTGCCAGCTGGTGGCTGGGAAGCCAGTGGTCCTGCGTGCCCTGAGCAGGGACTGGAGCATTCTCAGCAGAAACCTGGGCAGGAGAGGTGTGGCAGGGCCCAAAGCAAGCAGACACCCAGAGGAAGTCAAGCACAGGTTGGTGGAATGCTCCCACAAGCAGCTTCCGGAGAGCTGCGCTGCTGTCTGTCTGTCTGTCTGTGAGCTCTTCCTTGAACAGTGTTGATTTCCAGAATCTTTGGCACTGGGGGGGGGCACTCAGTGCAGATTCTCTGTGGAAGAGGGTGGGCGTTCCATAATAATGGAAACATACATGTGTTTTAAAAGTAAAGATTAAAAACAAAAATTACCAAAATAGCTTAAGTGATCACCATAGCTGTTTTAGTTCTTTCTAGCATAAAGCATGAATCACAGGCTGCACAAGTAGCTTGGAGTAACATCTGCAGAGAAGAGTGATGGTGAGCTATGCTGTGGGTGGAACCATGACCAGGGCCATTAAGTTTAACAAAACAAAGTATCCAAAGATTCCAGTGAGCTCCTTAAAGTATGGCTGAGTCTTTCAGATCCTCCTAGTTCTCTCTGAAGCTTCTACACGCTCCCTACACCTCTGCTGCCCAGGCCGAGCGAGACCCTGCCCTCTCCCTGCACCACTGCGATGCGCAGCCCAAGTTAGGGGACGGCGCTCTCCTTTTGAGACCTCTGTCGCCCCATGTCACTCAGAGCAAGGCCAGCCTTGACGGCCCTCGAGGTGCTGCATGGCGCAGACCCAGCTTGGCCCAAGCTCCCCTTCCGACCCCCTCGGCCACACTGTCCTCTCCCTGCCCTCACACAACACTCTACGAGTGGCCTCAGAGCCTTCACACCTGCTGCTCTGCCAAGACCATGCCTGATTCACAAGACACCTTTTCAGCTGTTCCTTTTCCCTGTTCATTTCTGTATAAACCACTTATCTCCATACACTGCATTTTTATCTTTGTTTTGATGGCGTTTATCTTCTCCCTCAAGAGTATCAGCTCCACACAGGCAGGGCATTGGACATTTCTTTATTGCTATAACATAATGCCTGGCAAATGGGTTCCATAAATATTAATTGAACACAGATTTATTGAAAGAAGAAAAACATTAAATCTGTCTTGGTCACTTGCTTGTCACTGGGGCAAAATACTCAGAATTTAGGAGAGGTTTATTTCAACTCATGCTTTCAACCCATGGCTGGCTGGCTACCAGGCAGGAACAGAGTGGAGTAAGGGCCTGAGCAGAGGACAGTAGCTCACAGCATGGTGGACAGCAAGCAGAGAGAGAAGGGAAGATTTGATCAGAGTATGTTTTCATGCTTGCCGCGGTGTTTTAGGGAAAGGCCATTTAGTGAGCAGGTGACGTAAGGGTGCAAACAGGTGTGGCCCTGGGGGTCGCGCAGTGTCTGAGGCTGCTGAGGCTGGAAACCCACCCTCCTCTCCCACAAGTGTGGAGCTTCCCGGGGGGAATTTTCTGGAGGACTGCAGGATCCCAGATGAGCTCTGCTGATGGCAAAAGCCGGAGTCTCCTGTGTTGCTTTACACAGTGGTCTCGGACAGGCTGATATTCAGGAACAGCCAGACTTCTGGGCAGTTGCTAGGGCATGCAATCAAGCTAGGAAAACTTGGTACAAATCCCCCGGTGGAATTGTCACAATGCCACTTTCTGTAGGCAGAAGTGAAAGAATTTTTTTTGTTTGTTTACAACTCCATAAATGGAATTCGAAGGCAACCCTTACTTTTATGATGAAACTTGCTTGGGTCCTCACACAGCAGAATGTGGAAGTATGAACCCCAGTTTGTGGGAGCGCTGATGTTCGTTGGAGCTCTACATTGGGAAGTAGAATGGAGTATAGGATAATTACTGACCAAGTGAAAAGGCTTGTGCAGTCAGGCTCCCTGGGACGAGCTCTCTGCTTGCTACTGAGCTCTCGGCCCTTGGTTTAGGGCTTGACCCTCTCAGTCACACTGAGTGAGTGTATAGCTAAAGACCTACTATCAAACCCATATCACGATGCTCCTTCTCTTTCAATTTTCTCTCATAGCCAGCTGAGGCCCTTGCAATAAAGACCAAGATTCCTTAGCCAGCAGGCCTTGGTGACCATCCCACAGTCGTTAGAAGTATGCTGACAGTGGGGGTTGCCCCTTGTGGGGTTCCACTGTGGTGCCTCAGAGGGCTCATTGGCCCCTGGAGGTCTCATGTTGAGGACAGACTCCTGCATGGCTTCCTGGCCACCTCGCTTGGACCAGTGTCCAGCTCATGGACAGGCCAGCTGGTCTCGACCTCTCAGACCCGTTCAAGACAAGGAGTGGGAAGCCACAGACCTTCTCCTTGTCTGTAAGTCCTACAGTAACACCCGGAAGCCAGGTGGCCATCTCCACCCTTTCCACTTTGGAACAGGCTTGCTTATTCTGAACTTCTAATCCATGGAAGCTGAGGGGATGGTCCTGCACCTGTGATCAGTTCATTCTCAGCCCTGCGTTAGAGACAGAAGGCCAGCCATAAGGGACCCATCCACACTGGGAGCCCATGGTGCACTGCTAACATGGCTGTCTGCACAGTAGTTGGCTGTCGCCACATCTCAGCAAATGAAGAAACATTGGCGAAGGTCTGCTCCGTCTGTGGTGGGATCCTGGCCTCAGCACTGTTGGACGTGGGGCCAGATAATGTTCTGTGGTGCACTTGTGCACTGTAAGATGTGCGCCAGCATCCTTGGCCTTGGTGCACCAGATGCTGGTATTACGCCATCCATGCTCCACCGGTGACAACCACAATGACCCAGACATTGCCAGCCATCCTTTGGGTGACCACGGTCTCCCTGGGTGGCAGTGGTTTATCAGCCTGGCTGTGTGCAGGATGTCTGTACCCAGATATGAATGGAAAGAGGAGGAGAGGTAGCTCGTGCTGGTATGGACAGGCAAGTTCAAACATTAGAGAGGTGCCACTCTCCGTGCCAGATGTGAGCCCTTTATTATAGCCAGTGGCCGAGGGGGCTAGTGCCCAAAGTTTCCTTGGCAATGAGAAGCAGTTTGATTTCTCCTTTTAAAGCATGCTTTCAGCTGGGGAGGGCTCAGGGGAGTGCAAGCGGAGTATTAAGCAGAGCCATGGCAGGTTAGTGGGGGACACAAGGAGGTTTCACCCACACTAGGTGAGCTGTAAAACATCCTGCACCTGCAGCGAGTTTACTGCCAAGCAGGATGTGGGGGTTTTGGGTGCTTTGTTCAAGCGCAGGCTCAAAATGGCATTGAGGCACAAGATGGAGTCGGGCTGGTTATCACAGTGGCCCCCTCCCCGTCCTCTTGGGCCAAAGCTGTTGAGAACATGTTTGCCCGGTTTCTTCTGACGGCGAGTGTAGCCTCTTTCATCACAGACCACCCCTACTTCAAATCCTCTAAGGAGGAATGTCCATAGAGGTGAGCGTTCCTCCAATCAAGCCAGTCCCCTGCTCTCTCGCCTGTGTCAGCAGCAGCTGTAAAGGGCATGGGTTCATGGGGGCACCATGAGTGTCTGATGGACCCTCAGCCCAGCTCTGACTCAGTTTCTCTCCGGGCCATGGCAAGGGGCCTTTACTCAGCATGTGTCCTGTGCCCTTGTCTAGCTAAGCAGCCAGCGCATTGTCCCTGTGTTATCACAGACTGGGACAGTTCTAACCTGTAAGGCCTGTCCTAGCCCCCAGCGCTGCAATCGCCCCGTCTTCACTTTGGAAACACAAGTGCTTGGACAGCCAGGTGGGCCTGTGCCCCACAGTCGCCGACAGCTGTGGTCCCCTCCTGCGCCCCTCACCTTCTTGGTTGCTCCCCTGCAAACCACTGCTGCCCTCACTGGTGCCTCACACTGTAAGAATGCCCGAGCCCTGACCCTGCACTGGCTGCACACTCTTGGAGATTTGCTCCCTGTGGATGGCGGTGCGGCACAGGTCTCCAACTCCTCGAGTCTGTGCTTGGAGGCCGCTCTCTCTGTCCGCTCTGTTGTGAGACTGCCCTTCCTTGGCAGCCTTGCACTCTTTACCCTTTCCAGCTTTTACTTCCATCGTCCCTCTCTCCCATGTCCTCTCATACATTCACTTGCGAGTCTGTGGCCCGCTTTCTCCCCCAGAAGCCCCGTGGTGTGGACTCAGAACGCGTCTTGCGTTCAGAGGGGAACTGGGCCCAGGAGAGCCGCCCAGTGGTGCTGCCTCTGCTGGAAGCTAAGTGTCCAACTCAGTTTACCCTGCTTGTCCTTCCTAGGCAGATTTTGGCTACTAGGACTGATTCTGGAAATTTCAGGACACCAAGCCTAGGCGATGGTTTTCTACAAACCAAAACACAGTGAAGTAAGGAGACATCTTCCTGGGGTAGCACAGAGGGAGCAAAGGGAGCCTTCTCCAGGAGCGGCAACCAGTCCGTGATGGCCTTGCCTTGTGGAGACAAGACCACCACGGAATGAGAGAGCTGTGAGGTGCCTCTTCTGGGTGTAGAGGGCAGGGCCCTGCGTTCCCAGCTCTGGGATGAGAGGGCAACTGGTTCATCAGTTCTGTCCTGGCTGGACGACTGGGTGAAACAACAGTCTTTGTTATCATTCAGCACAAGGCCACAGGTGCTTAACAGCTGAGATGTATTCC